TTAGTTCCTGTTCTTGTGTGCTTTGCTTAAACACTTTATCTCCAAAAGAAGTAGTATCAGAGAAAATCGACGTCTCCAGTACTATACTTCGATTATAAAAAATGACTAAACCAGTAATGTTACTATAATATAATATTTCAAGTATTACTTCAAAATGTCAGTAGCCCCATAAATCTTTAGGGTACATATCAGCATTTTCTTAAAAGATAATGAAGAAAATGTATCAGGCTTGGTTAGGGGTTTTGCAAAATCGTGGTAGGGCTCACCCTGAAAAAAAATTAAATGGAAGTCGTAGGATGTGTTTCTGTGTTTTCGTTTAGTTTGCTTCCCTTTTTGTCGGGGGAGGAAAAAGTCGGGGGGGGTGTGTCCTTGTCTATTTGCTTGTGGTTCTTCCATTTTCTGATTACAATCTTACTCTGTTTTGGTGATAGAGTCTGTCACAAATGGGGGTAAAAAGACAACACATTTCGCCCAAGATGTTTCAGTTTTCTTTTCCACGATAAAGTACTAGTAGTTTTGTTTTGGGGGTTGGGGGAGGGGGGGGTGTTTTGGGGGAATATATTGTTAAAAGTACCTCTTCATCTTTTCTTTTCATTTACACTTGGAAAACAGCTGGGTTTCCTTTAATAATGGAATGATATTCTTCGAAACTTTGGTGACTTGTAAAGAACTGCTATAAAAAGAAAAAAAGAAGGTAGTGCGTTAAAAGGGTAGTGTAAGGCGAAATAGTGTCCAACAAGCGGAAACGGTAGTAGACGACTCCTTGATATAGTACGTGTCATCTCGATTGTTCGGAGCTGACTAGACAGAGTAAATAAAGTACAGAGAATGCCCGTGGGGCAGAAAAGACGAAATGCCACTCAACTCTAGTATGTTCGATTATAGAGCTGTCAGTTTGTTTTGTACTCTTCTGTACACAGCTATTGCAACGTGCATACATCATTATCCCTAGATGTGCGATGTCAGACAACGCAGACCATTCAGTGCATGTCAGTGTAAAAGAAGGAAGGTCAAAGATGCGCATGGATAGACCTAGCAAATATCTGGAGAGACGTTGTAATAATGATATCTCTTGAAATCAGAATATTGAACATCGCTGTCTGGACAGAGATGACTTGTAGAACCACAGGGCGGACATTGAGAGAGGCAGATACAAAGTGGGCCGACTCCGTGAATAATGTGTGCTTTTTACAGACGCTTCTAGTAAAGAGAGCTAAAAAGAAAAGAGAGGGAAACAAGTGCAACGGCAACTGTCCAATGTAATGAAAGCAAGGAAAGGGAGGTTCTTCTGACATTTCTGCGGTAATGACAAATTCAGACTGACTGATGAAAGCCGTTGCAAGGGAGGAAAAGTCGAGAACGGCAAGCGACGAGAAAGGCCTCGTGTCAACTGTTTCAATAGCCACAGGAAATAGAATATTTGATTTCTACATCCTTGAGAGATGCTGTGTGTGGAGAGAGGAAATCAAAACAACGGCGGCGGACATACATCATTAAAGAATGACTGTCTTTGTGCATGATTAATCTAGAGAATGGACATTGCTCAGAACTGAAGAGCAAATCTGGCTTTCTATACCTATATTAACAGCTAACGTACATCAGAGTTTTTTACGTACTTTAAACCCAGTAGTATCTTCTGACACCTGAAGATGACCCATCTTTGATGGCTTGAACTCTTGGCCCAATTGTTAAACACACGGCTTCTCAAAGCTATTTACTTTTCAGAATAGGTATGTGGAAAGCGAACATTACGCCCCTAATAAAAAGGGTATAAAATACTCCCGAGGTTTCGCTGAAAGATTTCTCCATTGATGTGGATGAGTGGGAAACCCTCTGTCTTGACCGATCACAGGGGTACTATAAAGCCATGCCGTGGGACATCAAAGCTTTTGAGAAAAACACGGAGTCTATAAAACCAAGGCAATCAGTGAAAAAAGAAAATCAAGATAGTCAAATCTGGACATTGGCACTAGTCCAACAGACCACAAGTTCTCAGTGAAAATTATTCTGAAAAAGAACAGCGCCTGGAGGTCACAAGCAAAGCCATAAGAACGTTTAACCAAATAACCATATGTTTAGGCAGATAAGCACACCACTTTAGGAAAGGGGAAGGCGCTGCTTCGTGGCTAGCTGTATTTTAAGTGATTGCCATTATTTCCTTTTTTATTTTCTTTACCCGAGGAAGCTGGCAATGTCTATAGTTTCTATTCCTCCTTAGATGTTGTCATTAATGTCATTATTTTTATCATCATTATTATTATATTCATATGATGACGATTGATGATAATTGTTATATTATTATTATTATTATTATTATTAGTATCATTAATGTTGTTATTATTATTATTATTATTATTATCATCATCACCATCATCATTACTATTATCATCAGTATTATTATTATTATTATTATTATTATTATTATTATTATTATTATTATTATTATTATTACTATCATTATCATTATCATTATTATTATTATTATTTTAAAGTTCTGGTACGTGAAATATCTTTCTAAATGTTAAATGAAAGATTCAAAGAGACAGACACTGATTTTATTAAAAGTAAAAACCCTGGTGTAGCTCTGGGATGCACCTGTCTGTGTTTGTTGATCCAAATTTTAAAAGTAGAATGAAAACAGCAATTTAAGAGAGATACCATCACATTCTACAGATCTTGCATCTCCCCTGTTTTCGAGTGCAGCCGTCTGTTCAGCTCTCGCTCTGTTTTGTTTTCTGTTTGCTTTTGAGTTCTTGCCAGTTTTGAAAATGAAATGATGGAGCTAGTTCTTTAATTTGTATAAATATCGCAGTCTTGGCGCTGGTGCTAGGCCATCAAGCAAGCTCCATGCCTACATCAGTGATTCAGAGTCTGCCAGGCATGTTTTAAATTATGCGAAATAATAATTCCCACTCATAGCACAGCTTCTTCAAGGTAGGCAGGGAAAGGGGAAAGCTGTGATGTGAAAAAGTAACAGCACGATTTTCAGTTTACCTTCTTTGATTGTATTTCAGAAGTCTTTTCTATTCTTTTTTGTAGGGAAATAAAAAGTAAGGTTTATCGCCTGATGTACACATAAAAGGGAGCAACAGCAGCTGCCTTCTTTCCACCATGAAAGTATAGGGGGGGGGGGGAAGACTTCTATGTTACTCTCGCTTCTTGAAGTTTATTCTTTCATTTTGTTCATTGTTATCTTTTCTAAGATTATTTAGAATGGTAGGTCCTTGGAAGTGCTGAGATTCAAATAGCACATGACAAATCACAATTCCTTGTACTGGAGCTCTCTTTGCCGGATGTATCTGTTTTATTTCAATGTTATATTTTGGGTTTTATTTGTTGCTGTTGTTGTTGTTGTTGTGGTGGTGGCGGTTTTTATTGTTGTTGCTGTTATTGTTGTTGTTGTTGTTGTTTTGTTTTGTTTTAGGATTTGTTTTTTGTTTTCTTTTGTTTTTTCTTGTTTGTGCACATTTTTTAAAGGGGGTGGGGGGGGGGGGAGACAGCGCTCCGGATGAAAATGAGTCCTCAGTAAAAAAAACTTTACATTTTTGCTCCCCACTACTAAGAATCTCGGTCTCTTACATGCTTCTCGATCTTTTGCGTGCTATATAAGTGCTAAAACACTGTGCCGATTGCAGAAAGTTTCGTCAAACCCTAACTCAATATGATTTGACGCATGTGAGGGATGACGCTTTCAAATCGACCCCAGTTTTGCTTCATCAAATTTGACCGAAAGTCCATTAAAATCCCATCATATTCCGCACGCAAACGAAAGACCTGACCCAGCAATGCCAAATAACCTTCTGATTGGTTGTTTTGATTAAACGTATTGAATCGTGATCCAGAAAATTCAATCATGTTTGGTTCAGGAGGAGTTGACCAAATTGTGTCAAAATACACATGTATCTTTTGTTCCTTCATGAACGAAAACTTAGCCGCCTTCAACAGTGGCAAATGTATGAAAGGGAGGTTTGACGAGACTTTCTGCAGCGTGCACTGAGTATAACCAATAACGCCACAACGACAGGCTCCACAAGCAGATGTGTATGTAATATATTTTTACTAAAATTGTTAGACCGAGTGTTGCAAAGTGAATAAATTCCCATTTTAGATAAAACGTGTAAGTCATATTATGCTTATACATTAATTTATGTCCAAGCTACCTCGTCAAAAATTTTGATTAGCACTGAATCAACAAATAAATGCTTTGATGTCTTGAGACTAGCAAAAACTAAATTCTATGTAGAGATCAGTTTCAAAGTACTTTAATTTCACACTAGATTCTGTGGAAACTGTTTTGCCCTCAAATACAGCATGCAAATTATGTTTCATTGAAGATGACAAATTTGGCTTTCTTAAAAATGCTTTTGCTTGTTATCACCACACTCTTGATGTGATATCTTTAAGATATTAAAGGTATACTTCAGTCTCCATTCATTAAAAAAAAGTCTTGCGTGAATTACGTTACAGCTACCTCCACTCTGGCCACACAGAGAGAGAGTAGGCCCTGGATGTTACGTTGTGAGTTAAGTTAATTCCGAATGAAAGCCCAAAGTAGACCGTTATTTTCAAGTTCATGTCGTCCCCTACTCTACCCCAACCCCTGCCCCCATCTTTCTGTCTCTTTTGGTCTAGCAACCGAGCGTTGTTTTCTGGGCTGAAGTGATGAAGCTCTGCACCGTTGCATATTAAAGACACGAGTTAGGTTACCACATAAAGATGTATGTTGTGTCGAGTAACCTTATTTTTTTGGTCCTGTTTTTTGTATTTTTCTTCGATGGCGAATCCCATTCATCTTGGGGTGACTGGCAACATAGAAGCAGCTCATGCTTTGAATTACAATAATTAAATTAATGGGGCATAAAATATTTACAATTTATCAAAAATCAAAACTTGCTGCGCCAAATGTTGTAACAACTGCAGAACGATTTATTTTAGTGAGAAGAGTGCTAAACTCCGTCAAATGTCAAAACAAAATTAAACGGTCATTTCTACTTCCTCAGATTGTCTGGAGGAAAACCCCCCAACTGAACCCGCTGACCATTGGTGACGACACATACATAGGTGACCGACGAATCAAGGTGGTTCACCAGGTCCACTCGCTAGAGTGGAATCTACACATCCAGGACGTGGAAGTGAGAGACGCAGGGGTCTATGAGTGCCAGGTAATGTGTGCGATGTCCAGGCTTATTTGTTTGACCACCCTATGTCTTCAGGCTCAATAAAAGTTCAGCTATATGCATATATTAGTAAAATGATCTGAGGACATGAGTTGAGATCGGTTTCATGCGAAACAGAAAGAGAAATTAAAAAACAATAATATACATACCATATGATGTATTATATTTATAATGCATAGGTCTAGATGTTTAAGATTTTTTTAAATTTCTTGTTCAACTTTAGCATTTTACAATTTCCAGTAAAAAGTCAACAGATTAAGAATTTGTATTCTTCTTTAGATTTTACAGTACACAAAATACATTTATTCCAGTAAAAAGTCAACTGGTTAAGAAAAAAAAGCTTGGGGTGTTATTTTGTGGAAAGCATAAGGAATTTCTAATCCGTTCGGAATTTGGTACTTCGTACATTTCCCAAACCTTGTAACGCAGCTAGGAACAAATAGGCTACCAACATCTGTCCTGTATATTTTTTTAGTTGCGTCCAAGTACAGCCCAGTTTCTTGGCATATGTCTTCTATTAAATTTCTCCACGATGTTGTTCTTAGTCTTCCTCTGTTCTTTTCCCCCAAGAGATTCCATCTCAGCGCCTTTCTGATTACACTGGGCATCGACTTTTCTAGTATGTGTCCAATCAATCGCCATCTTCTCTGCCACTTCCTTTTCCACTTTCCTTTTATTTGTCCACTCCAACAGTTCGTTTGTACTGTTAACTGTTAACTATGAGACATGAGATTGTTTTATTCGTTCAGATCTCGCTCTGCTCTGTATGGATTCTCTTATCTCAGGCGTTGTTCTGCTTTAGTTCACATATTTGTTTTTGAATAGAAATTGACTTTCTGGTGTTTCTCGTTATCCGCTTCCTGGAATGTATTTTAAAACTATAAGGAGCTTGATGTTAGCTCGGTTGGTATACTACGCTGTGGTGCCGATGAGCAAGGTTCGAATCCCCAACAGGCGTTGTTAAACTTGGATTGTTTGATGAGTTTTCAAGAACCCTTCCAATTTGACTCGGTTCTTTCGGAAATGAATGTTAGATCTGTAAGTTTTTGCCTCCTAAATAATTTTACAGAGTTGAAAGGGAAGTAAAACCGTTATGATTGCCTTTTGTGAAATATGACTGCACAATGTTAAGTTTAAAGTGGAACGGTTAATCTATATCTTCTAGGTAGTGGCCAGAGACAGAGACGTTCGGCAGTTTGTGACCCTAAGTGTTGATGGTAAGTACTTGGAGACGACAAGATCATGTACAAACAGCTTGGATTTCGTAGTTTATTAATCTGGCTATGCGTCTGTTTACTAATGTGTATGTCCATAATTATCTTGCTACAATGTTAGCTATCCTTCTATTTATTTTCATACATATATACATATCCATTTAGGCATGTCATCTATTTTGGTCATGTAACTATCAAGTGTTTTCTTCGTTTGTTTTATATATATTTATATATATATAT